ATCATTGGCTGGCTGCCTCCTGCACACACCCTACGGGGGATGGAAGCCACAAGGGAATCCAACCAAGACTCCTGGTTCACAGGCCAACGCTTTGAGCCACATCTTTTCTTTCTTTCCTTTCCTTTTCTTTTTTTTTTCTTTTCTTTCTTTTCTTTTTGTTAATCCTCACCCCGAGGATATTTTTCCCACTGATCCTTAGAAAGAGTGGAAGGAAGGAGAGAGACCGAAAGAAACATCGATGTGAGAGAGACACTTATTGGTTGCCTCCCGCACAGGCTCCCTGCAAGTGCCCTTGACCAGAATTGAACCTCAGACCCTTCAGTCAGCGAGCCGACACTCTATCCACTGAGGCAAACCGTCTAGGGCTGCTTCCTTTTCACAAAGACGACCTTCAAACTGGAAAAGCTTCGGGTCCTCGCGTCGTTTGGACCCATCCTAGGTGTGGCCCCCTGGGAATTCGGGTCCGGCTTACCGTGGCCCTCTTTGTTACTAGGCCCCTCGGAAAGCAGCTGCTCTGTCTCTCCTTATCCCAGCAGAGGCAGCACCGTGTCCCTCTCTGGGCACCACAGCCCCCGTGTGCCCTACGGCTGTCGGGGACACCCGGGCAGCCACTAGGTTCAATCTGTCCTCTGACCTCCATCCTCCTCCAAGAGGAGCCCCAAGAGCTGGCCTCTTCCTCCTGCCCTCAGGCCACAGGGAACGGACCAGGAACTACCACCGCCTACTCCTCAGGCCCTGCCTGACTCCGCTCTGTTCTGCAGCCCAGCTCGGCCCAGCCCCCAATGTGCTGCCCATCCCCCACCCTCAAAGGCACCTCCAGTCTCCGTACATGATTCTGCCAGAGAACTTGGCATTTGTTGTAAGGAAGGGTAGCCCCGTCCCAGATGCTGTATCCCACCAGCTGTCTCCTTGCCCCACCCTGGCCATGGTGCCTCCGGGAGCGTAGCTCAGTCTCCCTGCCGCCCCTGGAGAGTGGCCACTCCTTCACATCCTCTCAGGGAGGGGCCGGGAACCCCGACCAACACGAGCAGGAGGAGCCCTGCCCAGCCTACCCCCAGCAGAGCTTCAGGCAGGAATACCTTGACCCCCTGTACGAATAACTGGTCAGGCGCCAGGGTGCGGTCAGTGGGCACAGGTGCCCCGGGGCGGGTTTGGCGATCAAACAAGAGCAGACAGACTTTGCCTATGACTCGATGTCCCTGGGTATGTGTCGGGGTACCTTCACACAGAGGGTTTCCCCCGACCCTCTCCAGGTAGCCGGACCGTGGGCTCTGGCTGGGAGAAACCTGGGCGTCCAGTCCCAGATGATGTCTGCGTCGACCCTGAGAAGTCTGAAGGAGGCATCAAGCAGGAAGGGTTGGAGCATTCCGAGAGAGACCACCCTGCCAGCGCCGAGTCCCTTGCAGGGTGGCAGTTTCTGGTGGCCCTGCCAGTGACCCAACAAATGCCCACTTCACTGCCTGGGTGGGCCGGGGGATGGAGTTCAAACCAATTGGGCCTGAGGAGGTGGCTGGCGAGCGTTGTGTACAAGTTTGTGTGGGAGCCTGAGGCCCTCTTCTCTCTGCCCTTCCCGGGGCCATCGGTGTCCAGCGCTCAAGGCCGAGTTTGAAGGCCAGTCGGTGAGGAAGACACAGTCCCTTTGTCCCACTTGGACGAGAGCCCTGCCTACCCCCCAGAGTTGCCTGGCCCTGCCCGGCCCTTTGGCCCCAAGGGTGGCCACTCCTACTGGCCCCGGCAGCTGCTCCCTGGCCACAGAGATGAATTTGGTGTGGGGGAAACCCTCACTCTGAAACCCACACGTGTCTTTGGAGCAGATCCCATTGGCCTGTCAGTGCCCTGGCCAAGTGGAGACACTGCAAGTGCCAAGTTGGAGCCTCAGAAACTCCTGGGGGTTTCAGTTCTGGCCTCCCCCTAGTCCAGCTTAGAGGCCAAGCCTCTCTTCCTCTCCCCAGTCCCGAAGAACAAGAGTTTGTTCGGTTCTGGGGGACAAAGAAAGGGCGTCCCCACTTTATCGTGGTGGGGAGGATGCATGGAGCTCCTCAGATCGCCCACTGTGGGGAGGCAAAGCCTGGGTCCCGCACGCCAGTCCCAGCTGTGGCCCTGGAGGGTCCTGCTCCTCAGCTCTGGGTGCTCTGTGTTCCCAGGGACCAGGGGAGGCTGGGGGAGGAACCTGCCAGGGGGCGGGGCTGCTGGTGGAGCAGGGAGGGCTGGGCTCCTGCTCTGAGGGACCTTTGTTCTGCCTCTTCTTAGGCGCAGGCCTGGGATATCACCTCTACCACGTCTGCCAGACCCTAATAAAGGCTCCTGCTTCTCCCATACAAAAAAAAAAAAAAGGATGGTCTGGGCAAAGGATATTAATAGACTACTCCAAATTAGATATACAAATGGCCAATAAGCTATTTTTTAAAAAAATATATTTCTTATTGATTTCAGAGAGAGGGATGGAGAGGGGAGAAACATTAATGATAAGAGAGAATCATTGATAGGCCGCCTCCTGCATGCCCCCTACTGGGGACGGAGCCAGCAACTGGGCATGTGCCCTGTCAGGAATTGGACAGTGTGACCGATTCTCCCTTCCTCCTTATCCAACCACTGCCCCTTCTTCAAGCCCAGCTCGTGCCCCACCTCCCCTTGAAGACTTCTGCCCCCCCCCTTAGAACACCCATAGCTGGAGCTGCCTGTGTCAAAACTCTTCTTCTTCTTCTTCTTCTTCTTCTTCTTTTTAAATGTTTTTTATTTCAGAGAGAGAGAGAGATGGAAACATCAATGGTGAGAGGGAATCGTGGGTTGGTTACTTCCTGCACGCCCCCTATTGGGGATGGAGCCTGCAACCCAGGCATGTGCCCTGGCTGGGAATCGAACCTGTGACCTCCTGGTTCATAGGTTGATGCTCAACCACTGAGCCACACCAGCTGGGCTCCTCAAAACCCTTCTTAGTAACGGATCCACACACCCTTCATGAGCCCTCCTCTGCTGGGCGGATGCCGTGGTGAGAGAGGCAGACCCTTCTCTGCCCTTTGGGAACCAACAGTGGAGATGGACCCAACCTGCTAGTCCCAACCCAGGGAGGCAGGGGGTGGTGAGGGTGGCAGCTGACGTGTGCTCCTTCCCTGTGGTTTGATCACGCTCAAAAGGCTGGGCTGTAACTGCCTGCCGAGCCAGCAAGCCGCAAAACGTGAGGGGCGAGAGGTGGGCAGGGGCTGTGGCTGGTGGAGAACTCACGCTGGTCTGATGGGGACAGCGGCACCTCAGCTATGACCACAGCCGGATCTTTAGATTTGCAAGAGCAATCAGACATTTTCTAGTGTTTAAGTGCTGGCCATTGATTCAACTTGGCATCTGCAGACCAGCTCTGGCTCTCGGGCCCTGTGTTGGCTCCCCCTGGTGGAGAGGAAGCTGGGCTCAGTGGTGTATAAGCTGTGTGCTTGGCCGTTTTCCTTCTCTGGCCTCAATGTCTTCCTTTGGGGGCAGCTGGTCTCAGCAACTTCTGTCACTCACACCCCATGGGCTGCATCACCTCCCAACTGCTAGTCACCCGTGTTCCCGGGTCCCTAGACATCGGCTGCCCAGAGACACTGCAGTGAGCAGTGAGCAGTGAGTGAGCAGTGAGTGAGCAGTGAGCAGTGAGCAGTGAGTGAGCAGTGCGCAGTGCGCAGTGCGCAGTGAGCAGTGAGCAGTGAGCAGTGAGCAGGGAGCAGTGAGCAGTGAGTGAGCAGTGAGTGAGCAGTGAGCAGTGAGCAGGGAGCAGGGAGCAGGGCCTCGGAGCTGCAGGCCTGGCTCAGGCAGGGCTTCCAGGGGGGTTTCTGAGCCGCATGAGCTCAGGTGAGGTGCCCGTCCCCATCTTCCACCCTTTAGACCCCCCGTGCCCAGGGCCGCAGCCCCTTGGGTGTCAGCTCCATTCTCTCCACCCCACTCCTGGCTCAGGGTCCTTGGTGCCCTGGAGAGCCTCGCTGGCCCTGCCAAGTATCTCACCTGCTCAGCCCACCACGCTGCCAGCACCAGCGGTGGGGTGAGACGGACCAGACAGCGGTGGGGTGAGCCGGTGGCAGCCCTGGCGGCCAAGCAGGGCCACAGGAGCGGGCCTGGCAGGAGCATGGGCAGCCCTGTGCTTGCTGAGTGGGGGGGCTCGGTTTGAATTCTGTGCCTGGGCTCCCAGGATTCCCACCGCTGTAGACCTGGGGCTCCTGCAGCCCCCCAGCTAGATCTGGGGCCTCATTCCCTGAGGTCAATGCCACTGGCCATCCCTCCTGCTCTTCTGGGACATCAGCGATGAAACCCAGGACACTGCAAGCAGGGCGCGGGGTGGGAGAGGAGGCTCTCGGGTTCCAGGAGAGCGGGTGGGTGAGGAGGGGGTCTGGGGACACTGGGTCCCTTGGAGGGACACTTGGCAGGCTGGGCCCTTTCATGGAACAGGCCTGCAGTGACGTGGGTCTCTGAGAGCTCGGTGAGGGTGGCAGGGGTTCCTAGCAGGGGGAGCTTAGAGGGGTCTGGGTTTCCTCCTGGGCTGAGGGCAGTCCCTTGGCCTGGGTGTCTGGAGGTTTATGTTTCAAGTTGGACAGGTTGGGTGGTCGGGTTCCTAGGTGGGCGGGTCTCGGATGGTGGTCTGTGTTGTCAACTGGGTTTTCTGGCGGCTGGGGTCCCTGGTGGCCTGGGGGCCTGAGCTGGGGGACTGGAGACGGACCGGAATGGCTCTGGGTTGAAAGATGAGGCTGCGGCATCACGGAGCAGAGTCCCAGCCATCTCTCCAGCGGTCCCCTGCAGGACGCTTCACCGACGGGCCCGCAGCGGCCCACAGGAGTCGCCTGGTCCTTCTTTCGTGGGACACCGGGGAGCAGAATCGAGGCCTGACGCTGCCCTGCACCTACCCGGACCCCCGCGGGGGTGGAAACAGCCGCGAGAGCCAGCCCTTCCCTCCCCATCCCCTCCAATCCTCCCCCCCCCCCCGGCCCCTCCCGGCAGGAACCGCCGCCCGGTGCACGGACAGGACAGACGCAGGGCTTGCGCGGGAAGTGTCTTTTGGTTTTTGGGTTTTTTTTGTTTTATGTTGTCTGTATTTTCTTAAATAGCCGGGCGCGGGGCGGGGAGGGCGAGGGGCGGGCGGTCCTAGATGGAGATGCTGTTCTCGATCAGCACCGGGTCCAGGTAGTAGTAGGGGATGGGCAGGCACTTGTTGCGCTGGCGGATGTTGTGCGAGATCTGGGCCAGGCGCTGGCGGAAGGTCTCCATGCTCCCC